TCTCTGGAGGTCCCTTCCAACCCCTACAATTCTGTGATTCTGTGATTCTGTGAAGAATAAAAATAAGTTTCCTACCATACTCAAAACACAAACATTACAGAGACACAGTAGATCTCTGTCTTCTCGGACCTAGTTTGGAAATTAAATGAAGACAGAGCAGCCAAAGACATAAAGTAATTACTGTCATCCCCCAAGAGTTTGTTATCATTTTATACAGTATCAAACTCAACTAAGCAGAACAGAATAACTACTGATCAAAGCAAAAACTAGTGATGGAGTGCTACATGAGGAAAGGAAAATGCTAGATATGAAATCAGTAGTATCAAAATACTTAGTATAGAAGGTGTGACAATGAAAAATATGAATGGGCAAAGAGAAAAAGAAAACCCCCCTGGCTGATCTAACGCAAGCTTTTGGAATCAGCAGAAGTTCCAGCTTGGAAGAGTACAGACACATTAATTAATAACTGCTTGTTCCATTCTCCTCAGTCCTGCAAATAAGCATATCCTGTCCACACCAAACAAAGTTTATTTGGATATCCTTCTGCAACAATCATTTGCACGCACTTTTGTACAGGCAGTTCTTCAGCTATTGAGTCATTTTGATGTGAATTTGTATACATCATTTGGCAAGACTTCTCCTTCCCTTTTTCTTCTTAAACCAAGGAAAGCTAGAACTGAATTTAGGCAAGTGGAAGCTGAGATGTAGATCTCTGTACTACAAGATTTAACTAACTCTGAGTAATACTAAATTTACATTAGCCTGTAACATACTATTTAATGTAAAAATATCAGCACCTTTTTAAGAGGCGTTGGTCTCTTTGCTTTAGGGACTTCTCTCTGCTTTCCTTTCTTCACCAAAGGAGCGCTGGAATCCAAGGGGTTATGAGGCATCTTTTCTTGGTTTAACCGATGATTTTTTGTGGCTGTAGCAGATTCTTTAGAAAGCAATGGTATGGCACCAGCAACTGAGATAAAAAAGAAGTCTGTGTCAGACACCTGTAACAAAATAGCTAAGCCAAAATCCAATGCAAGAATATACTAGCCCGGTTGCAGTCATTGTACATACTACATTTGTGTTGTGTTGCTATTAAAAATGCGTACAGGCAACCCTGTGTCATGAAACAGTACTCTTCAATAAAGATTCTTCTTTACTTCCAGAAAGTTAATGACATTTCCTCTACTACCATTATGCTATTGGAATCACAAACTGTATCTCAAAAGCAGAATTTGGCAAATCACTGCACTCCATGCTACCTTCAGTACTAAACCATTCGAAATCAATAAACCTTCAGGAATCTCCAGGTTTAACTGTAATGGCATTTCTTTCTCCATGCTCGCATTTTGTATTGTGTTAATATGAATACTGAGTTCTAGGATTAAAGTTTTTAGATTTAATTGCTGTAAGTAATCTGGAGCAGTCACTCCAACCATTCAACCATTCCTAATCAATGTTGGTTGAAGTTCATTTGCAAGTAAGTAATAAGCAAAGTCTTACTGCTAAGTCTCTTTTGCTCATCAAGAATGGCCTTGGATGCCTACTATACCTGCATTATTCTGAGGGCTCAGGGCAGAGGAGCTTTAAATGACTGATTAAGTGACTGAACCTGAACCTGTCAAAACGCAACCTAACAAGACTCCACTTGCAGCTTAGATCACTAAAAACTGCTGTATGATGGTGACAGCACTCTGTCAAACTTCCAGGATCTGTAATATAAACTAGGTTACATTACCAAGTAAACGAACAGAATGACATAAATAACAGTGGAATCTGTTTGACATCTCTGCACCTGAGAAAACGTCATTCCACTAAAAACTACACAAAGTTTCTGGCAATTTGCCTTAAGCCATCCAAAGTACTTACACACTAAACCTCCAATGTCACATATACTATAACTAACATAAGCAGCTTACTTCATAAAACTGTACATTGCAAGTTGTCTTTTTGGGGTCCCGTGTAACAAAGGCAAATTGAGAACACTGCCAAGAATGCAGTGCTGTGTGCTAGCACAGGCAAAGACAAGAATTAAAGCTGGATTTGTAGCACTATATAAGTATAAATCCTGCAGGCACCAAATACTTCATTCACTGTGTACTTCATTTCTTCATTTATTATCACTGAACATGATGGCTTCAACAGTTTGTCATTTTGAATAACAGGTGCATTTCCAAAATTGAACTTTTAAATTCAAATGGTTACTACTTTCCCATGTTTTTCCATCTATATACTACTCTCTAAATGAAGTAGCAAGCAGAATGAAATACTAAACTTCCTCCACAGCTGTATTCCTTGCCTTTCTTGCTCTCTGTGCTTCTTCTCTGGCTACAGAGCTCAGCACAATATCATATTACAAAATAAAGTTCCATTCTGGTGTATGCTGATTTAACAGCACTGAGTAATAATAAAACAAAATACAAAGGTGAGGTAACATCTGCCTTATACTTCCAAAATATCAGCATGACACATTAATTTATCTTGTGCAGCAGATTCAGACATTTGGAACATTAGAAAGTAAGTCTTGTGATCCATAAACTTATGCCTTATTTCCTACTTTACAGTCCCTACATTATATAAATATATACAATCAAAACCGGTTGCTAGCATCTCTGCAGCATTGGCTGGCTCAAATGATAGGAAAAAAATCAAGAGCAGAATAAAAAAACTCTTACAAATCTTTCAGTGAAGTCTCAATGAGGCTTGGTACTTTTAGCTTTTTTAAAAAACTCACAGAAATCATATTAAACATTATGAGATTAATGCTCCTCTGATTAGCTCTTTTTCCATAGTACCAAAATAAGGTGAGAAATTTTATCATCATTAACTCTAGCAAACATCATATTTCTTTTTGAAAAACATGAGGCACTAACACAATCAAGACCAAATTTACACCTTCAACAGAAAATACACAGAACTATTTGTTTCCTGTATACACATCAACAAAGGTTGGTGAATTCTATTACCAAATGTAGCATTTTTTAAATGGCAATTACTTCACAATTATCAGGAACAACAGAACTCATCCCTTGACTTGGGCTGACTGATTCCCATATAACCCCTGTATTTGCAAAGGAGTATTTTTTTTTGCTTTTGTTACAGCTGAGACCTTCTAGCATCAATGGAATTTAAGATGGCATCTGTTATCACAAAGAACTTCCTTGTATCACAACAGCAACACACTTAGATTCTAAGAAAAAGCAAAAACCTTTAAAAACATCACTATTTTCCTCAAAACTCAGTTTTTAAAACCTCTAATGGTTACACCAGGTATTCTTTCACAACTCATTGCTCTAAAGATTTTTCTTTCCCCAAGTCTTCCTCCAAACAATTCAGATTTTATTTTATTTTTAAAACAAAGATCTGCAGAAAGCATAATGTGACTCTGGCATGTTTGAACTGTGCTCCTGCTTCACAAATCACTGCATATCAGAATCAGGAGGCATTTAGAAGTTTGAATACTTGTAACTGAAGATGAAAGACAAAGAAAGTAAATTTAATTATAACCAATACCTGAAAACACCACAGGTTTAGAATATTGTTTGGACTTCTCTGTTTGCTGTTTCTGCTCCAAGACTGCCAACATGCCACCTAAATCCAACTGCACAGGAATTTGACTCTTCTTACCACTGCTCTTGGATGTTTCCTGAGCAAATACAATACAGATTAGGAATGCTTTTCATTTCAGAATGCAGAAATATATTCTTAGCTCCTTCACTCACAATTCTTCTCATTTTTACCTTGAATTTACTGAATTATTTTGATCTTCAGACACACATTACCTTTAATGTGAATGAGAAAAAGTCAAAAACAGTTCAAATAATATATTTTTGCTTTTCAATAGCTACTAGAATAAAGCATATAAAATTGAGTATTTATTAAAGCGGGTGCCTTGTGTCAGTATGCCACTTTGGCCAAACTACCACCTATCTTTGAAAAAGAAAAAAGGTTAGTCAGAATTTAAAGTTTTTATGAAAGTACTGTGAAAAAAGTGTGATTCCTATAGAGCATGTGATTGCAATATACATACATCATTATCTTCAACGTCTTTTGGTTGATAAAGGAAAAGTCACCAACTTTTCCCCTAAGTAGTATTTCCTCATAAGCAGTTGTCTCTCTGTCTGCTTTGAAGAAAAGCTTAAAGTGGTGTCCCATATCTGCACTACATGTAATGATTCAAAATGCAAAAAGATTACAAATATGTAGTTCAGTAAAGACTAGGAAAGAATAAATTGTAACTCCAGAACATGTTAAGGAAATAACTCACTGACACTGTACATATTCTGGAAGTTTAATCATATCCTCTGTTATAATACAACTAAAATACTACAATCTCCTCTTTCTGAGACCACAACTTTACCTGCATCAGAGCTACGTCACAACCCACTGACTGACCTCACTTTTGTGTTTATCTCTTTGCTCCAGCTAAGCAGATCTCTATGTCTTAATCTGGCTGAACCACTTCTGCCAGAAGTTCTCAATGTAAGACAATCAGTGAGGATGAGATTTACGTCATGACCAAGTAAAATGGAAAAGAAAAGCTCCGGACAGCGAAGCTTACAAGCACTAGTGAAAAGCTAGCATTTCTCACTAAAAACTGCAACACAAATAGGGAGTTAGCAATAATTACTATTGAATGTTTTGAAACAAGAGGATGCTGTCATTTACCTCATTATCTGCTGCCACACTATTACAACAGACTCGTTATTTCCTCATTTTCTGATTTGGAATTATAAAAAGAAAGGCATTTTTCTTTTCAAATATTTGTTACAGAGGAATATAAGCGACTTCATGGTAATATCTCTACAGTCTGTGTATGCTTTGAGAGGCGATATCCCACTGAAGCTTACAAAACCTTGAAGGTTTCTTTCATGTAAGCCACAAGTCTGCAAAGCATTTCCTTCACAGCAAATGTGGTTTCAGCAATCATACTGTGTTTTGCTTTGACCCTCAGTGAAATTTACTGCCTCCAAGAAACCAAACAACTGTGTTCTGTTTTTTTTTTTTTATTAAATACTGTTAGTACACACAGTGAAATAAAACTAAGGACAAAAATTTCCAGCAGCAAAACTAGTCTCAAAGAAACAGAAACCTGACATTTCCCTTCATTATTTATTACGAGCATCCCTGTAATTTATGTTTGAGATTCATTCTCAAATGCAATGAATTTTAAAATGAATCCTTAATTCATTTCATTAATGAAAAAAAAAAACCAGCCTGGACTTTAAATCAAAGCCAGACCCAGGTTCTTAACTTTTGTAGAGTTCGACAGCAAATATGCCCATGAAATTTAATTGTATGCACAAATGGAAAAGCTACAGAATAAGAGCCTTACTATAATTTCTCTGTCCTTTTATAAATGCAAAAATAAACTACAACATTACCTGTAGGACAATAACCTGTATTAACAGAATTTACCTCACCTCACTTTAACTTGTCTTACAATTACAGCATGAGCACCTATGTCCCAATTAAAAGTCAGGTAATCCCTGGAAATAACGTTAAGGCATAGGTGAGAAAAGGAGGTGTGTCATGTTTTATGATTTTTGTTATCGGTATTCCACATGATAACATCAGGTAGCGCACTGGGAGTTAAAGAGTTAATGCTCCAGTTCTGTGGATAGTCGGTATTTCTGGGAACCTGGTTCTCAGAAGAGAAGGACAACTACAACTCCCAGAAGACTTTCACTGTTCCATTTCCATTTTCCATTTAGAGGGAAAGATCAAACTGTTTGCAAGTCACAAGACTGCCCTTTTTCTTTTTACTGCTCATCTCTGCTGTGCGTGCTTCCTAGCTGTCTCACCTTCAGCATTAGCATTCAGATGCAGGTGGTTGAGGAATCGACGAGGAGAGGGGTACTGCTGGACCTTATTCTCACTAATAGAGAAGGGCTTGTCAGGGAAGTAAAGGTCGGGGGCAGCTTGGGTTGTAGTGACCACGAGATGGTGGAGTTCAAGATCCTGAGTGGAAGAAGTAAAGCAAAAAGTAGGATTGCTATCCTGGACTTTAGGAGAGCCAACTTCGATCTCTTTCGGGGCCTACTTGGAGCTGTCTCATGGGCTAGGGTGTTGGAAGGCAAGGGGGCCTGTGAGAGCTGGTCAGCATTTAAGCAGCTCTTCTTCCAAGCTCAGGATCGGTGCGTCCCTGTGAGGAAGAAATCGGGAAAGGGTGGCAGGAGACCTGTGTGGATGAGCAAGGAGCTCGTGCACAAACTCAAAGGAAAGAAGGCCCATGAAATGTGGAAAAAGGGTCTGACTACTTGGGAAGAATACAGGAATGTTGTCAGGGTCTGCAGGGATGCGACAAGGAAGGCTAAAGCCCGCCTGGAATTAAATCTGGCAAAGGGGATAAAGGATAATAAAAAAGGTTTTTTCAAGTACATTAACAGTAAAAGGAAGACTAGGGAGAATGTGGCTCCCCTGCTAAGTGACGGGGGTGTTCTGGTAACGGGGGATGCTGAGAAGGCGGAGATACTGAATGCCTTCTTTGCTTCTGTCTTCAGTGAAAAAGCTCCCCCTCGGGAATCTGAGACCCTGGAGGTTAGTGAGAGGATCTGGGGAATGGAAGACCTCCCTTCAGTTAGGGAAGAGGTGGTCCAGGAGCGCCTAGGCAACACCAATGTTCACAAATCCATGGGACCTGATGGGATTCATCCACAGGTGCTGAGGGAGCTGGCAGAGGTGATTGTTGAACCACCTTCTGTCATCTTTGAGAGGTCTTGGAGGACGGGGGAGGTGCCTGAAGACTGGAAGATAGCCAATGTCACTCCGGTCTTCAAAAAAGGCAAGAAGGAAGACCCAGGCAATTATAGGCCAGTCAGCCTCACCTCTGTCCCTGGAAAGGTGATGGAACAGCTTGTACTGGATGTCATCTCCAGACAACTGGAAGAAGAGGAGGTTATCAGGAGTAGTCAGCACGGGTTCACAAGGGGGAGGTCGTGCTTGACCAACCTGGTAGCCTTCTATGATGTTGTCTCTGGCTGGGTGGATAGGGGGAGAGCAGTGGATGTAGTCTACCTTGATTTCAGCAAGGCATTTGATACTGTCCCCCATGACGTCCTTATAACAAAGCTGAGGAAGTGTGGGATAGATGAGTGGACAGTGAGGTGGGTTGAGAACTGGCTGACTGGCAGAGCACAGAGGGTCGTTGTTGGTGGTGCAGAGTCCGGTTGGAGGCCTGTAACTAGCGGTGTTCCTCAGGGGTCTGTGCTGGGTCCGGTCTTGTTCAACATCTTCATCAATGACCTTGATGAGGGGATAATGGCCACCCTCAGCAAGTTTGCCGATGATACGAAGTTGGGAGGATTGGCTGACACGCCTGAAGGCTGTGTTGCCATTCAGCAAGACCTGGATAGGCTGGAGAGCTGGACAGAAAAAAACCGGATGAGGTTTAACAAAAGCAAGTGTAGAGTCTTGCATCTGGGGAGGAATAATTCCATGCACCAGTACAGGTTGGGGGATGACCTGCTGGAGGGGAGCTCTGCGGAAAGGGACCTGGGTGTCCTGGTGGACGACAGGTTGGCCATGAGCCAGCAGTGTGCCCTTGTGGCCAAAAAGGCCAATGGCATCCTGGGGTGCATTAAAAAGAGCGTGGCCAGCAGGTCAAGGGAGGTGATCCTCCCCCTCTACTCTGCCCTGGTAAGACCTCATCTGGAGTATTGCGTCCAGTTCTGGGCTCCCCAGTACAAAAAAGACAGGGATCTCTTGAGAGGTCCAGTGGAGGGCCACGAACATGGTGAAGGGCCTGGAGCATCTCCCCTATGAGGAAAGGCTGAGTGAACTGGGTCTGTTCAGCCTTGAGAAAAGAAGACTGAGAGGGGACCTGATCCAGGTCTATAAATATCTAAGGTGTGGGGGGCAGAATGGCGAGGCCGGACTCTTTTCAGTGGTGAGTGGAGACAGGACAAGGGGAAACGGCTGGAAACTGCAGCATAGGAAGTTCCGCACAAACATGCGCAAGAACTTCTTTACAGTGAGGGTGACGGAGCACTGGAACAGGCTGCCCAGGGAGGTTTGGAGTCTCCTTCTCTGGAGATGTTCAAGACCTGCCTGGATGCCTACCTGTGCGACCTGATGTAGGGAACCTGCTTTGGCAGGGGGTTGGACTCGATGATCTCTGGAGGTCCCTTCCAACCCCTACAATTCTGTGATTCTGTGATT